TCACAGCCAGAGAAGTGCAACAGTGAGCCCATGATGATGGGATCCACTGGTCTTCCCATGTTCCCTACTATCCTGAAGCAGCTGACTTGATAGGGAGGTCTTTTGAAGACACAATTATAGTGCCAAGTAGGTGGTGGCATCCTGGAGGTTTGGGGCAGGGTTCTCCACAAGGTGATATATACTTTAAAATCAGTGTCCAATATATAGTGTGGTTCCTCTCATAGCCAGGATCCATGGGTTCAGGAATCATAGGGTGGAAAAGGAAATAATTCCACTATCACCCCTAGTGACACACTACAAAAAAATTTTGCTTTCTGTTTCCATGACCTTACATTCTGCTGGCCTAGACATTTTGGTCCCAAAGCAGGGAGCACTCTGGCCAGGAGCCACAATAAACATTTCATTGAACTAGAAGCTCAAACATCCCCCTGGCCACTTGGGTTTCTGATGCCCTTAAACCAACAGACTAAGAAAGGAATAGCAGTGTTAGGAGGGATGATTGATCCATATTACCATACAGATATTGGATTGCTTCTCCATAATGGCAGTAAGAAAGATCACGTGTGGAGTGCAAGAAATCCTTTAGGGTGTCTCTTGGTGCTACTATGTCCTGTGATTAAAGTCAGTGGGAAACTACAACAGCCTAATGCAGGCAGAATGACAAAGGGCACAGACCCATCAGGAATGAAGGTATGGGTCACTCCTCAAGCAAAAGAGCCAAGATCGGTTGAGGTGCTTGATGAAGGTGGAGAAAATACTGAATGGGTAGTAGAGGAAGGTAATTATAAATGCCAGCTAAGGCCATGTGACCAGTTGCAGATACAAGGATTTTAATTAACATGAGTTTTTCTGTCATGTTTTGTTAAGAATACATTTGTACAAGTATTTGTATTTTCTTTCCTCAATTTATCATGTGATATTATATCAATTAAGAGAATATCAATGATTGTCATATTTATGTTTGAGATACTAAAAGAATGCCCCACCTATTCTAAATTTATCATGTATTTGAGGTTGTATGAAGGATAGTTACATCACGTTAGGCATAATTATAATCTGGTTAAATAGGTAGTGCATTTGAGATTTTCCCATGGGATAGTTATGTCAAGTATAGGCATAATTATAACCTGATTATTGTTTTTATTTGGAAATTAATCATGACACAAGGAAATATGATTGTGTGTCAAGTTGGCAAGGAGTGAATTTGTGATTGCTACTCTTGAACTAGCTAAAACCTAAAATGCTTGTTTTTGCCTAACTAGCAAGTCCATTTCTTCACTGGTGTTGAGCCTACTTCTTTATTATTTCAGTGATTACAGAAGACCAGTTGAGATATCCAGCCTCATGAACTGAACAATTACTGGATTCTTTGACCTACCATGCATAGGCAGCCATATTGGGTTAGCTGAACCACATCCCACAGCCTGTAAGTCATTGTAATAAACTCCTTTGTGTTTGTGTGTTTGTGTATGTGTGTGTGTGTATGTGTGTGTGTGTGTGTGGTGTGTGTGTGGGAGAGAGAGAGAGAGAGAGAGAGAGAGAGAGAGAGAGAGAGAGATTCATTCTAAATTCTGTTACTCTAGAGAATCTTGACTAATACACCAGGTGTCCTGTGGGCTAGTTTCAAATAATCAAAGGAAATTGAGGAGAAGTCAGGTGATAGCCAGTGTGAGAGGAAGAATCTGGGCATAAACTTAGGTTCCTTCTCACTTTATCAAGCTGGTTCATTTTTAATTAAGTTCCTGAGAGAAAGATCTGTATTTCAGAGGGAATGCAGTCTCTGTGACCTTTGGAACTGATTTAAAAGCAGGCAGGAGGCCTGCACTCCCCTGTCATTCATGACGTGTAGCTGAAGCTCCATCAATATCTCAGGAGTTATTTGACTCATCAGAGTCAGCATCACCATGTTGCCCTGAGTGTCATATGTAGCTACAACACTGGGAAGGTCTGGTGGTGTTGAAATGCAGAACTAAAATAGTGCCCCTCCTTAAGAATTCCAAGGCCTTGTCAATAGTGGAATGAGATGGAAATCAAAGAAAATGAAAGGATCAGATGGTAGGAAAGTGGCCCAGTTTAGGGATGTTAGCCATTGTTAGAAGCTGTCAGTTCTCTGGAATAGAAAGGACTGAGACTAGCTAAGAGAGTCATTCAAGAAATAATTACCAAGTGTCTCACACAGGTTCTGGGATTCTGAACTGGCTACAAGTTGATACATTTTATGTATGTGTGGCCTTAGCTCCATGTTGTATAGTGGCAAGGTTTGGATTTGATAAAGGTATATCACACCTTTTTCTAAAACAAAATCCAGTTAAAAACTTAAAGCAATTTACAAGGGTGTGGTTCATAAAAATACTATAAGCCAGCAGGAAAAGTGAATAGAAGAAAGAGTAGGCCTGGTGGTTCAGGCTGTGATCCTAACTCAAGAAACTCAGGCAAGCATGATATAATGGTGAACAATAAAAAGGCCAAGTGCTCAGAGTGGAGTTAAGAATGAAATTAGTCCTTTGTATACAAGATGCACCCTTGCAATCCTAAACACTGGCTTTGCATTTTCAGTTACTAAGATACAGTGGCACTCATCCATTAAAACAAGCAGTGACAGTGAAAGCAGTTATTTGGAAAAACTAATCCTGGTAATAATCCAGTCATATTAGATCTTCATTCTACTCCAAGGGACACCCAGGACTCTTTCCTAGACAATTACCGCAACTCTCCCTCCAGGCAGTGTCACAGTCTTAATATTTGGTATCTGATAACCATGAATTAGGTCCTAATCTTGGCAGGATGCTTGCCAGCCCAGGGCCAGCAGGGGGCCCTGAGTCCTCATGAGAATGCTGGCCACCAACTGTGAGAGGCCTAGCTCAGCAAAAATGAATGTCAGTTTCAAGGCCTTTGATCCCTATGAAGGAGCAGACAAAAGAGTTTCACACCAGGCTCCCATCTCAGGGCAACAAACCCCAGGCATTTCATCTGTTGGAAGAGGGGGCAAACAAAGAGTGTGAACTGTGAGTGTTTAGACTGATTGTGTGTGTGTGTGTGTGTGTGTGTGTGTGTGTGTGTGGGGGGGTGTGTGTGTGTGTGCGTGTGTGTGTGTGTGGGGGGCTTGTGGGGG